ATCTTTTATTGCTTTCCTATTTATTGCTTTCTAGTTTAGTTTTATTGCTTTTTAGTTTCATATTTTATTGTTTTTTAGTTCATCTTATTTTTGCTTTTTCTTTTCTCTTGTTCTCCTATCTTTTGTTTTGCATCAGGGACGATGCAAATTTTTAAGTGTGGGGGAGGAGTAATTAATTTGGGGATAATTTTAAATTTTAAAATTTTTACTTTTGCTTGGATGACTCATATGCCATTTTTGGTGAATAAGTTACTTGTCATAGCATGCAATTGCAATTACTCTCTCTTGTAGGTTAGTGGTTTGTTTTAGTGGTGTTTGCTGCATCTCAATTTGTGATTGATATTTGAGGTGTAACACATAATTGATATATTCCCTTGCCAATAGCTTTGTTAACCACTTAATAATCGGATTGATTCTTGATCTTGTGTGTTATGCATTGCCAGTGAATGCTTATGTGAGATTCCGGTCATGGGTGTTTTGCTAAAACTTGCCTCATTACCCTAAGCGATGTCTAAGATTTGCATGTTTTGAAGTGATTTAGGCCATTTTTGTCTTATTCTCCACACAAACATCTATAAAACATGCTTTACAACTCCAAATTCAACGAAACGAACTCCCACGAGTGCGTTGTAACGAGCCTCAAGGGCCCACGAGTCCCGGTCCGAACAACGCGTAGCTGAGCCTCAAAGGGCCCCGCCAGTACTGAGAATAACCTGGCGGAGCTTGGTGGGCTTGAGAAGCCCCGCCACTTGGCTCCGCCAAGTAGCGATGCCTAGCAACGGACCATGCCATGGTCCGTTGCCAAGAGCCGTCCCTCAACGGGGCTGGCCAACGGACCATGGTGTGGTCCGTTTCCTGGCTCCGTTGAGTTTACTAGTGCACCATCTGTGTGCACCAGTTGGCTCCTTCTTCCCTGTAACAGCAAAATCAGTGCAAAAACACTCATCCAAACAATAACAAATCATCCATGAGTCAACTACAACACACAAATAGCTCAATCAAAACAAGTGTTTAGCATTTCTACACATTAACACACAAGAAAGGCAGTTAACAGAGATGAAAATAGGTTTGGGAGTCCATGGTTTATACCTTTGCTTGTTCTTCTTCTTGTGTGGATCTCCACCTCCTCTTTACTCAAACACCACTTCCTTCACCACCTAGACACCTCAAACAACCCATACAAACAACACACAGTGGAGGACCTCATAGATTGAAGCAAAGAAGATGAAAACCTAAAGGAAAGATGAAGGAATGGATGGCTGAGAAAGAAAGCTAGAAACTTACTGGTTTTGCTTCTTCCTTCTACAGAGCTCAAGAGTGGAGAGGCAAGAATGAAATCAGGAGAAACAAATGAAATAATGAAGTTTATAAAAGGGTGCAAAACCCTAGGAGGATCAACAATGATTGGAGGAGGGCAAAATGGTAAAATGGGTTGTTTATACAAGGGATCAGACAAAAGCTTGTAGATGGTACATGGTCCACCTTGCATCATGGATCAAAGTCTAAAAAGAGAAATTTGGACAACTTGGGCTCAAAAAGAGATTTTCTAAAAATATTTTCTAGTTAAAACACTTGATTCAGGTTTCACAGGTTCCTTTCCAATTTAACTCAGATTAGCTTTTTAGGTCAAAACTTGGTAAACAAATGTACCCGAAATTTAGGATTTTCGAAATATAATAAATCTCGGTGTTGAATTTATTTAAAAACTCGGTTTAAAATATTTAATTCAAACACCGTTTTTCGAAATAAAATTTCATAAAAGTGAAAATGACTATTTTGGAATTTATAAAATGGAATTTAGAAAAATAAATTTTGGGTTGTCACATTTCACCCTCCTTAAAAGAAGTTTCGTCCTCGAAACTTAGGATAAACGGACAGATTTTCTCAAAACGGGAGTTTTCTAGATGACAACAAGAGGTACAAGAATTGGCTTAGAAACTTTCTTGGAATACTTGGAAGAAAGAAATCTCGGAGTATCAAACAAGCGACCTTTCCAAGGGGGAATAATTGATCTCTGGGCCCTTCAACGTTCGCCTCACGTAATATAGGGTAACTGGACCTTGTCTTCTTCTCGCACCAAGGCCAATCCGATTGCCTTCTGAGAGGCGGCCAAATACAGTAACAATACTTAACCCTCCTTAGGTTTGGAGTTAGTAGATATCTTCTCAATTCCTCAAAGGCAGCCTGACATTCCCCACTCCACTAGAAGCCTTCCTGCTTCTTTATGACTTCGAAAAAGGGCAAGGTGCGATCGGCAGACTTAGACAGGAAGCGGCTGAGAGCGGCCATCCGACTAGTCAGGCGCTGCATTTCTTTGAGGTTGTTGGGGGGTTGCATTTCCAGAATAGCTTGCACCTTTTCGGGATTGGGCTCGATTCCCGCCTGGTCACCATATAACCCAAAAACTTTTCTCCTTTGACCACAAACGCGCACTTCTTCGGGTTTAGCCGTAGGTTGTACTTCCTCATGATCTCCAAGCAGTCAGACAAATCCTTGGCATGATGACCTTCTTCCTTGCTCTTTACCAACATATCATCGACATAAGCCGCTATAGACTTGCCGACAAATCTTTGAACAGTCGAGCAACCATTCGAGTGTATGTGGCCCCACCACTCTTAAGACCGAACGACATTACCTTATAACAGTACACCCTGTCGGGAGTGATGAAGGCAGTTTTCTCCTCATCCGATTCGTGCATGAATATCTGATGGTACCCCCGCAAGACATCCATGAAACTAAGTAATGCCCACCCAACTGTATCATCGACCAGCTGATCAATCTGGGGCAACGGGAAAGGATGCTTAGGGCATGCCTTATTAAGGTTAGTGTAATCCACACACATCTCCACGCTAGCGGCTTGGGCACCAATACCACGTTGGCCAGCCAGCCGGGATATTTCACCTCCCGGATGTGCCCGGCAGCCAATAAGGTGTCCACTTCTTGCTTTACAAAATTCCTTCAGTCGTTCGACATGTACTTCTCTTTTGAGCAACGGGCTTGTGGCATGGGTTGATTTCCAACCGATATTGAACGATCAACCCCAGGCATATCCTTGGGGGCCCAGTCGAATATTTCCTTGTAGCCCCTTAGAACATTAACGACTGCCTGCTTCACGGATTCGGGCAACCCGGTCCCAAGCCGGGCCTTCCTCTCCGGGCGGTCGGGATCCAACATGACTTCCTCCAACTCAACAACTACTCCACCGGGCGCTCGGTCAGCTGATGGGCAATCATGTTAACTCGCAGACCGCCATGTCCCACCTTTCATAAGCTTGCAGCTAGCAACTCCAGGCCACTTTCTGATCGCAGCGCACTACCCCGACTCCGATCGGTGTGCGGAACTTCAAACATAGATGCCCGACGGAGATTAGAGCACCTAGGTCCTCCAAACATGGTCGGCCAAGTATCACATTATGTGCACATTCTAAGGCCACAACCACGAAATAATTTCCAACTTTCTCACATGGCGCCACATGCCTATCTTAACTAATAGTGATGTGCTTCCTTCAGCATCAACTGCATCACTGGTAAACCCGGCCAGGGGAGTCCTAACCGGTCGCAATCGCTCTAGAGGCAGCCCTAGCTTTTTGTATGCTTCCAGTTATAACACGTTCACGCTGCTCCCCGTGTCCAACAGGACTCGGCGAATGACTACCCCTGGATGTCCATGGCAATGACTAGGGCTTCTCGGTGAGGAGTCGGGCCCCTGGGCAAGTCATCATCAGTGAAGGTAATCGGCTCTCGACAAGCTTTCTTCCGATCCGACTCCTGGAAGGCAATTGCTTCCACATACAACTGCCTAGCCCAAGCTCTCCAAGCGCTTGCGGTGTCACCGCCTTCGGGTCCACCGACTATCATGTTGATGACCGGCTTATGCTTCCAATTCTTATCCGGGTCCTCCTCTTAGCCGGGCTGTTTGCCCTTATCTATTGCCTTCCCAGCCGGTCGGGCGGGGGCATCCTTATGCCAAGGCAAGCCTGGTCGGCGCCATTGATTGAGGGGCAATGACCGATCACGTTGTATGAGCGCCTCGATCTCGTTTTTGAGGCCCTCGCACTCTTCTGTGGTGTGGGTGTTCGTGCGATGATACCTGTAATGGTCTGTATTCGCATCGACCACCTGCGGGTTATCTCCGGGCCTAATGGGGGGAAGTGGTGGTAACCGAGTGCGGACTTCATGAACGGGCTGTGCCACTGCTCGATATGCGGGAGCTCCTAGTCGACAGCACCCGACGAGCTCTCACTCGCATGCCACTTGCTTCGTCTGCCCGGCTGTCCCGAGCGTTATCTGACCGGGGTCTCTTATTGGCGTTGACCTCTTGCTTGCGCTTTTGTCTGACTGCCTCCTCCGTATCTGCTAACTGATTAGCCATTTGGATAGCTTGAGCGTATGTGGTAGGATTCTCATCCCTTAGCTTACTATAATGACCATCTGCTCGGAGAGATTCAATGAAGAACAGTAGGGCAGTTTGGTCATCCAAGCCTTCGACTTCCTGGGATTCCTTCTACCAGCGTGCTATGTATTTACGCAAGCTCTCTCCCTCGTCCTGGTGTATCCGAGACAAATCTGAAGTATTTCTTGGGTTTCATACTTCCCGCGAAGTGTGTGAGGAACCGGTCAGCCAACTCCTCGAAGTTGGTATTAGATCCTGCGGAAAGCCTTAAGAACCATCCTTGGGCTAGCCCGCTAGTAATGCTAAGCAGGAGCGAAACGACATGAGCTCAAACTTTTCTTTTTCCCTATCCCATCTTTCTCTCTCTATAATCTATATATGCATGTATGTATATAAATATAAAATTATATTTAATATTATTATAAATATTTTTATATACTAAATAAAATAATTAAAATATTTAATTATAAAATTTTATTTATTTTCAAAAAATAACTAAACACACTAAAATAATTTTATAGATGCAATCAAAAACAACAAAAAATAACTCACTTTCTAAAAGTCATTTTCTTGCTTTTCAACAAGACCCTTAATCAATCTCCTTCATTTAACTATTTGCTAGGGTTTGCTTCTTCGGTTCTTCCTCAAATTAATTTTTGTCTCCAGGGAATCGCAGGCCGCACCCATAGCCTCCCGTCCTCCACCTTCTTTGCTACTTCCATAGCCATAACCTCCGTAGCCACCACCTCGCAGCCGCCGCCGCCGTAGCATCCACCTTCGTAGCTTCTTCCTCGCAGCCACCACCTCCATAGCCATAACCTCCGTAGCCGCTGCCTCCGTAGCCTCCAGAACGGCCACCACCGCCTCTGCCTACTACAGTCACTGTACGGCGACCGCCTCGTCGGACGAGGTGACCTGCTAGTCTGCTACGTGCCTCTCTCTCTCTCTCTCGCGCGCGATTTTTATTGAAACCTCAAAATTTTTGTTTGGATTAGTTGTACTAGTACTAACTAGCCTAGTGGATTCTCCTTGGACCTTACTTCTCTTTGAGGGAAGATTGGGTAGCTCTCGGTTCTCCTTAGTGATCCTGGGTTTTCTTGATTTTGTCTATTCAGGTGACTTTTCTTATGCTCACTGTTTTCTCCGATTAGATGTAGCTTTGGGTTATTTTTTCCGCCCTTTGCAGGTTCCTTCAAATTTTCCTTTTAAATTCAAGTTTGATCGCATATTTAGAGGGATTTGTCTTCTGGCTTCTGTGATTTCTGGATTGCTTGATTATTTGTGTTTTCATAGAGATTCTGTGGTTAATTTCATATCATTTCTGTTAGTTCTGATGTTGTGTTGTGGAGCTATTATTGTGAGAAGCAATAGTTATGTGAGGGGTCCTGGATTCACATTCACTCCTAGCAGTTTGTGTTACGATTGTGTTTCTTGAATGGGACCGATTCCTACTTTTGTATTCATTCTTTGTAGTTTGTGTTATTATTTTCTGTTCTCTTTAACAGTTGATGTTTACCAATTTTGCCTTTGCCAACGTGCTCGTTAGCGTTCCCGATAGAACGTTAACAAACACTTAACAAACGAACATGAATAGGGTTTTTAAAAACCTTAACAAATGAACACAAACACTTCAAAAATCTTAACAAACGAACATGAACAACCTCCGTTCATTTATGTTCGGTTGTTAACAGCCCTAAACAGATTATCCGGATGAAGGCCCATGGTTCATATGAAATTGTTTCATGACACAATAATCTGGATATATTATTTTTAAATTATTATTGAACTTCATTGTATATATTTAATTGAATGAGGCACTTAAGTCAGACTATGGGGGTTTGTTAAAAAATGTCTCTAGCAATCCACCTTTTGCATGGTGCCAATAAAGAACTACTAATCACGATTGGAGGAAACTGTTTTTTCCTGCCCTTTTCCTTCAAATTTGCATTAGCTAATCTGTTTACTTCACTATATATATGTGTGTGTGTGTGTGTGTGTATATATATATATATAATCTACTCCTATTTTGTTTCTGTCTTGCTGGATGTGATGATGCTGCAGTGATGAGGTTCTAACATGTAAGAAGATCATACTTTGTGTTTGGATCTTCAATGAAATTTACTTGTTACGCTTGGCTTCTGAGCACATTTTTCACCTCTTTGCCCAATGAAGTGCAAAATCTGGTTTCTCCCTGAATTAATTTGTTCATTGTATTCAAATGCCCAGTGGTTAATAGAAATTCTATTGATCACTTTTGCGTTGTAGGATAAAGTTTGCATTGAAGAGATTGCTCGAGGAACAAGCACAGAGTGAGAGAGTTCAGCAAGATTCAAGGCGTTATTCACCTGAGTTTTGCTCTGGAAATGAAGCAAAAGAACCAATCAAAGAATGCAAAACCACTTGAGCAGAACCCTGTGGCAGCAAACGTGAAGAAGCCCCTGCCTATCATATCTTCTGCCACACCTAAGAAGCTAAAGCGTGGCAGTGAAATCGATGAAATCTTTGCAGGGAAAAAGAGAAAGAAACCAGAGAAGGTTGAGGATGTGGTTGGAGAGCCTAAAAAAAAGGCTATGCAGAACAAAAGGAAGGATAGCAAAGTTTGTAAAGAAAATGGTTCGACGTCTGGTTTAAGGTCTAGGAAAAGGACGGGAGATGGGCTTGCAATTTATACTGAGAATGAATTGGGTATCGGCAGGGCGGATGCCGGAGGTACTCCCCTCTGTCCGTTTGACTGCGATTGTTGTTTTTGATATACAATGTGTTGTCTATTTGTCTTGGCTCTACATTTTGAAATTCATCTTCAATATCATCCCTCCACTTTCCCATCTTTATTTGGTGAGTTAATTACAGCAATGGTCCTCCGACTATATTGATTTCTTCTTTCCAATTGAGGTCCTTTTGTTAGATTACGGTAAAGTGAACTTTAAATGAAAGGATAAAGTAGTCATTCCATTTGCCTAATGTATAATTTTTCGTATTTCTTCCTTGTATACGCGACTTCGGACATCAAATTCACTTAATTGCTTAATCCCTAATGGAATTTTGTTCTTTGAGTGAATTTTGGGATTAAACAATTAAGTGAATCTGATGTCTGAAGTTGCGCATACAAGGGAGAAATACGAAGAATAATTTGACGAAAGGACTTCAATTGGAAAGAAATTGAAAGTCAAGGGACGTAAAGTATTCAAATTAAAAATCGAGGACTAATTTTGAAAAATCAATGTAGTCGGAGGGCCATTATTGGAATTAACTCTTTATTTGGTTCTGAACCAGCTCTTTGGCTTTCACTTCATCCTTGTTGGAATCAAATTATTGAATATTCATCATCATCTTTAAATTTAAGTGTTTATTGAGTTAAATAAATTAATTATACATTTACACTAAGCTATATATATGGTTGAGTTCACATGAGGACCACAATATATAGAGGACTGTACGAACTAATTACGGGCACACAACTAATTAGTATCATGTACACATTTTAACATAATGACACACAAGAATACATGTAAACATTAGGTTTCGAATTCAGGTTCTATTAATTAAAAAACCTATACAAACGACTACATTCTTAAGTATTAAAATCTAGATCAACTGCTCAAATCAATGAAAATTTAAACAAAAAAAATGCGTGTTTGGAAGAAAGAAGCATATGCTAAAAATGACGCACCTTAAGTGTTAGAACAACGCACCTTAAGTGTTAAAATGACGCACCTAAGTATTAACATTGCGTACCTTCAATTTTTAACAAGAGTAAATACCTAAAATGGTTTCTCGACTATAGCTAAATTCACAAATTGGTCATTGATTTTTAATTTTAACCAATTAAGTCCTCAACTTTACAATGTTAACACGATTTTGTCCTCCGTCTATTTGACCATTTGTTGACCGTGATTTTTGAGAATATATATGTAATTTCATGGTCCATTGTTGGTTTTTTAAGGTTCCGGTTGCATTTCCAGACTGCACTGTTACATTTGAACCCACTGCCGAGAGCAATCTGCCAAATCCTGTCGCCTTTCTTCATCCCCTCTTTGGATTCAATGTAGTTGAGTTCGTATCAGAGCGAAGAGTTAAGAAAAGTGGGGTGTTACATGGGCGATAGACTGTGTCACGGCAGCGGATGAGGGCGGGGGGCAGTGAAATTACATATATATCCTGAGAGATCACGGTCAACAAATGGTCAAATAAACGGAGGACCAAATCGTGTTAAAATTGCAAAGTTAAGGACTTAATTGGTTAAAATTGAAAGACGAGAACCAATTTGTGAATTTAGCTATAGTTGAGGGACCATTTTGGGTATTTACTCTTTTAACAATGACACATCTTAAGTAATGCAAAGACGCACTTTTAAGTGTTAAATGATGCACCTTAAGTTTTATTCAAAAGTTTTAATCTTGAGGGTTTGAGCAAGGGGTCTAGTCTGGCAAACCCCTAAGTTTAAAAGTTTTGTTCTTGAGGGTCTGAGTTACCCATGCCTCAGACCCCTTAGTTCAGAAGGGAGAAGGGTGCGTCATGCGCGGGCAAGGAATGTTCGTTACCCTCTGCTGCATTCTGTTTTGTTTCAGATTTGAAGAAGAAACACGATGCACCTTAAGTACAAAAATCACGCACCTTAAGAAGGTAATCCACACACCTTAAATTTCAACAAATACTAACACTAAGCACATAATCCACACACCTTAAGTACAAAACTCACGCACCTTAAATACAAAATTCACGCACTTTAAAATATAAAAACCACGCACCTTAAATTTGGCCAAGATGCAAAAATTATCAAATTGTCAACATTTTTTTTTATTTAAATTTTGGTAGTCCTGTACATTGATTTTAGCAAGATCTATAACTCAGATTTAACCGCACAACCGCATAATCGCTCATATATATGGGGTATGCCTCGGCATAGGTTTAATTGTGAAGAAGAAATGATGTGAAAAATAGAATAGTAATTTGTGAAAAAGAAATGATGTGAAAAATAGATTAGTAGTTTGAGAAATGACTATCCAATGACATGTAGTACATGTCATTAATAAATTTTGGATTAGTTAGAAAATAATACAAAGTAGAATAGTGTTTTGAATTTACTAGTTCGGAGATAAATTTGGATGAAGAGTTGGGTATGTGTAGAAGTTGAAATGACTAACCAATGACATGTAGTACATATCATTAATAAATTTTGGATTAGTTAAAAAATAATAAAAAGTAGAATAGTTGTTTGAATTTATTAGTTCGGAAATAATTTTGGATGAAGAGTTTGAATGTGTGTAGGAGTTGAAAATTAAATTTAAGGTGTAGGGATTAAAAATGATAGTTGAAAACATTTCAAATTTGCTAAAATTATTCAGTTTCAGCTCCACTGTAGTAATTTTTATAATTATCAGAGTCGTAATTTATGGGATAAACAGGAGTTGAATGTCTGTAAGATTCTCTTATTTCATAATTTATGTTTGCATGCTGTTGATGAAATTCTGCTTCAAAATTTTTAACGTGTTTTGATTGAGAAACTAATTCGATTATTTCTTCAACCAAATTTTCTAATTTTTCTTCTTCAAAATCTATTTCCAATTGTTCTTTAAATTTGTTTAATACAAATTTTTCTTGGAATGTGAAAATTTTTCAATACTTGATAATTTGTTTTACCAAGTCTGAGTAGAGAAATTTTTTGAGTAGATAATAAATTTTTTCGTTAAAATTTGGTATATTTATTGTATATTCAAGAAATTCTTTGTCTTTAGATTTTTCATCTAAATAATATGTAGTAAATATGTTTCCAAAATTTCTTTCAACTTGAAAATTTTAATTGTTTCCAAAATAGTCTTTAATAAACTTTTTATCCATGTTTTCAATTTTTTCTACAAATTGTTTTTTCCGCAGGCGTTGTTTTGAGAATTTATATTTCAAAATTTTACTTTTTCAAACAGTTTTTAAAGCTTTGCTCATTCTTCTTCTCTTTACTACTGCCAGGTATGATATTTCTTCATCTTATCAGTTCATGTCAGTTTTTATGCTTACTATTTAATCATATTTTATCTAAAACACTCACCTTTTCACCCCTAATCTAATACCAGATTTATCCGTCTACAATCCTAACAAGTAACAACATCTATGAACCTTATTTGGGTACTCTTTTCCCTTTCTGGTACTTCTTCCCCAAAGATTTTCTAGACTACATGGATTGCTTCGGCTCAAACAAGATTTACGTCTATTGGATAAAGATATACATATGATTAAAAATAAGAATAAAAACTAACACAAAGTAAGAAGATTAAGTTGGGATCATATATCTTAGTAGCAATTTGAAAAAGTTGGAGCAAAGGCATTTAGTGTGAGAATTTAGAGCATATGAACAAAGGGGTTTTCATTAGGATGCACAAGGTAGATGATTGTTGTGTGTTTCTACGGAGAGATCATCACACCTATTTATACAACAGATTGAAGGTTCTAGGATGTACAACTAACTACTATCTACAGGATGAAGACAAAAACGAATCTTATCTCATCAGCTACTTTGTACATATATTACATTTTTCACATGTTGTAATAAAGATGAAGATCAGAACGAATCTTATCTTATCTTTTTACAACTCAGAGATAAATTGGATTTATCTCTTGGAAGGGACAGGCCCCCATTCCTTAGCCATGAAGTCTTTAATTTTGTCTGAAGGTTGGGACCCATGTACAATATGGGTACCAATTTTCAAAAGTAGCTGTCTTTTCAAATAGCCTTTTTTCAAAATTACTGGTGTAGGAAAACTTCGTTGGTGGGTCTTTAATTTGTTTTCTTCATCATTTTTAGAGTGACAAATCTGATAAAGAATTTCTTGAATGGCGGCTTGCACTGAAATTTCTAAGTACTTCTTTGTGCTTCCTGTATGTTTGAACCAACTTTGGTCTTGGATACTCAACTTGAAATGGGAAGAAGAACTTGGATGCTATTGAAGATTCACAATAGATTTTTCCTTGTTCATCTTCTCTTAAAATGTTCATTGTAGCAAATTTTGTCCTGGTTCATCTAAAATCATTTGCCAGAATTTTTGCCCGGACAATTTCCAATTGTCTTTCCATAGGGTCTTCAATTTTAATTATTTTTATTTCAAAATTTTCTTTACAAAATTCTTGATATTCATCATCAATGTCTTGGAAGAAGATTTTCAGTAAATGATATGCTGTAATTTTTCTTTCAAAATCTGGATAGAGGGAATTGAATTTTATCAAGAAATTTTTTCTCACTTCTGGAATTATGGTTTCAAATGTATCAGATAAAAGTGAGACAAAAAATGGTGAATAATCTGAAAGTGGTGGAGAATTTATAGAGTTTATCAGACCATGCTTGATAAGTGATGGAATTGTGATTGGATAATCTCTAAATTTGAAAGGTTTAAAATTTGGAATTAACAGATTTGCCTTTCTAATGTCAGAATCTAATTTACAAAAACATTCATTTTCTTGGTTTTCAGGACAATTTGAGTATTGGCTTTGGCAAATTTTGAAAATATCATAAGAAAATTCCCAAGATGGAAATTCCGATAGAACTTGATTATTGGTAATTTGGGCTACGCAGTCTTGAAGAAGGATGAATGTCTTTAAATTTACTTCATCAGCAGAAAGAAAAGGCTGCTTTGGTGGAGAAATTGGTTGAATTTTTTATTTTTCCAAAATAAGTAATTTTTTTTGTTTTGAAGGAGAAGTTAATTGTTCTCTAAGGGTGTCTGCAAAAGTAGGTGTAGAGAACAGTAGGAATTTTCCTGTCTCAGGAGGAGTCTGTAATTTTTCATTCTTCTGAACAGAAGATGATGTGTCAATTTCTGGGTCTGAAATTTCTTTGAGGAAATCAGGATCCTCAAAATTCTCCAAATGTTTCAAATACTTCTGATATTTAAGAACTTTTGGAGAAACATAAGAATCTTCTCCGTTGTTCTCAATAACAGAGTTAATTGCTTCTTGAATATCGAAAAATCCATTAAAAAGGGGGTATTCTGAATTTAGGAAATAATTTAATTTCTTCAATTAAGGGTACCGTTTCTTCCCATTTTAAATATACTCCAGCCTTAGGGCCGTTGTATAAAACATAACAGGTATATGATCTTTTCTTAAATTGTTTTTCAGAATGGAAATAGTATGCTAAGGCATTGAGAATAGCAACCTTTTTAGGGTTAGCTTGCCTTTCAGTGGCCAAGTTTCAAATATTGTCCAGAAGACATGTTTCCTTGTCATGAAGCCTGCTTTTGAGAGGTGTCTTAAATTGGTTTTTCTCTGAAAATATCTTTAATTCTGTCTTGTCAAATTTGAAAGTTTTCTCCATGTTCAAAGTCTGGAATTTACTGCTGAGAGTCTCAAATTTTGTGGTAAGTGTCTCAAATTTTCTGCACAAGACAAAGACTGATTAGTCACACAATAATTTTCTTGATAATAAATCTGAAATCTTATTATCTTTTCATTTAATATGTTCCCATTTAATTTTAAATCCTCTATTAAGGACAAATTCTCTAAATTTTAGCCATCTGTTAGAAGTTAATTTTCTTTCATTTTCAGTATCTACAAATTTATCAATTGATTCGCAATCTGTTCTGATAGTAATTTGCTTTTTTGATAAAATAAACAGTACGAATTTCTCAAGTACATAAATTATTGCAAGTAATTCAAAGTCCAAGGATGTTAAATATCATTTTTCTTTGAATACTCCAGAGGTATATCTACAAATTCTCTCTGTAGATTTTAAAGCAAATTTATTTGATTTTTTAATCAAAATTCCTCCCCAACCCATTTCGCTACCATCAATTTCTATTATCAAATAGTCTGATTCAAGAGGTAATGCAAGGGGTTCAAGCAATTTAATCTTTTCCGTAATTTGTTGGATAATTTTATTGTCTTGGTCATTAAACTTTTTTACTCCTTTACTTTGAGCTTTATTGTATAATGGAGTAGTTAATTTTGCTAAATTTTAGAAGTAAGGTCTTACATAATTTCAAAAACCAATCTGCCGATTGTATTAATTGATGAAAGCTGAAATAGCATCAGGATGGATAGAATCCCAATACATAAAATGTTCCTGAGTAAAAGCTAACAAAGCTAAAGTATGAGCATGTAAAATAAACTGTCTAGGCACATAGCTTAACGAAACAAAATTAAATAAAGACATCATCGTTCTGCACTGGTCGATTATTAAACCAACATACGAGTGAATAGGTGTAGTTTGGTGGTGGATGGTAGTACGCAAGACCAAACAATCTGTGAGAAGGTAGGCCGAGTAGATATTCCTCTCAACTAACCAGGATAGTGCCTCTTTAACTGCCATTGCCTCCGCCATGAATGGTGAAAAACAGGCGGATGATCTACCCTTCTTTGCTGCCACAAACGAGCCTCCGAGCGCCAACAGCACAATTCCATACGTAGTCTCCCCGGTTTCCTGCCGATATCCCGCATCTATATAACATCGCATGTGATCGTCGGGCAATACCGGTTTGGATTGTGGCTGTATTTCTTCTCTCACGGGCCGGCTGTGCACCGCACTATATGCCCTGAGCACCGCTTCCGTCCCCTTCATAACTGATCTTGGGCGAGACATGGCCCCTTTCCACACAGTTGCATTGTGGCATCTCCATATATTGTAAAGAACTCACACCATAAGGTGTGTTTGTTCCTCTGTTAAGATCGCCATAGCCCCAGTGAGCCATGCTGCAAACGAATCTGTAACAATGTTTGTGATAGGTAATTGTGTTATATTCCAAACTAATGCAGAATATTCACAATATACTAATGCATGCAACACATCTTCATTATCAATCATACACATAGGGCATGTCGGGTCAATCTCCACCCTCTTATTAATTAAGTTCATGGTAGTGGGTAAAATATCACATACTGCTCTCCACAAAAAAGTCTTCCACTTTGGTGGTACTTTCAACTTCCACATCTTAACCCATTTATCAAATTCACCTGGGTTGTTCTCATAATCACCCACAATACGCCTGAAAGCATTCTTTACTGAATAAATTCATTTTGGGTCACCCATCCAGTACCATGAGTCATCATAATCTGGGCTAACAGGAATCATAACTATTCTGCCCACATCCCCAGGGATAAATAAATCAGACAAAATATGTGGATCCCATGTTTTTGTTTGTGGGTCAATCAAACCTGCTACTCGTGCCTCTCTTAACTCTTCAGGCATAATTGTTTGTATTAAGGGGCTAGGATTATCTTGTAGCCACGGGTGTCCCCAAATCAGAGTTGTCTCACTATTTCCAATCCTGCGCCTTATCCCAGCTACCACTATTGGATGAGCTGCCATTATACTTCTCCAACAAAAACTTGGGTTATTTCCAATAGTGGCATCAACAAAACTAGTCGTGGGGTAATACCTAGCTTTATATATTCTTGCCACCAGGGACTGTGGATTTGTCAGAAAAAACCAGGCCTGCTTACCCAGCATAGCCAGATAAAAGGCTCTCAATTCCTTGAAACCCAAACCACCAAACTTCTTGGGGATACATAATTTATCCCATGCCTTCCAATGTATCCCCTTTCCCTGCCACTTCCCCACCAATATCTATTCATGGCTCTCTCAATGGATTGACAAACTGTCTCAGGCAACAAAAAAACATTCATTGAAAAAGTTGGCATAGATTGAGCCACACTTTTCAATAAGACCTCCTTACCAGCTTGAGATAATAACTTTGTGCTCCACGATCCAATCCTCTGTCTGATTTTTTCCTCCACATAAGAAAAGACTGCCTTTTTATTTCTGCCCACAAACGATGGGAGGCCCAGATATTTTCCAAAATTATTCGCCTGCATTACCTCAAGGCAGCCCGCCACCTGCGTTCTGGCCATGTGCTGGGTATTTCTACTAAAACAAATATTTGACTTGTTATAATTGACCACTTGTCCAGACAGCTTCTCATACCTTACCAAACACTGCTTAACAACAATAGCCTCATGGATATTTGCTTTAAAGAAAAGCAGGCTGTCATCTGCAAAGAATAAATGAGACACCGGAGGAGCACCCCTGGCCACTCTACATCCATGTATAGATCCTGCCATCTGTTCCTTCTTCAACAACATCGATAGTGCCTTAGCACAGATAATGAATAAATAAGGGGAAAGAGGATCTCCCTGTCTGAGTCCACGAGTCGGTTTCATCCGTCCCCCCATCTCCCCATTCACCATTACAGTATAGATCACCGTTGTCACACACAGTTTCCAGAAAACCCCATTCCATTCTATCGTATGCTTTTGACATGTCCAATTTCAGTGCACTCCAGCCTACTACACCACACTGCTTCCTGTTCAAGTAGTGACCCACCTCAGCTGCCACCAAGATATTATCTGTAATTAATCTGTCAGGAATAAAAGCACTTTGGGATTCCGAGATAATATCCCCCATCAAAACTTTCATTCTGTTTGCCAACATTTTTGCCATTATCCTATATATGACATTGCTTAACGCAATCGGTCTCAAATCTGCAACAGTCTCCGGGACCTCCTTTTTAGGAATCAATACTATATTCGTATCGTTCAGCCCTTCTGGAAATACCCCTGAGTCCAAAGCATGCAATATGAAACCAGACACATCATCCCCCACAATAGACCAAAAATGTTGATAGAAACCCGGATTCATTCCATCCGGGCCTGGTGTTTTATCCGGGAACATAGAAAAAAGTGCTGTTTTTACCTCTTCTATCGAAAAAGGCTGATTCAACATCTCATTATTCTCATTCGACACACGGGGGGCAAAGTCATTAAAGAGGGGATCATCACAGCTCAAATTATCAGAAGCAAATATGTTCTTAAAATAATCCAGAATCACCGTATGCATATCTGTATCCTCCACCCAATCCCCACCCTCATTCTTAATACTAGCAATAAAATTCTTCTTTCTACGGCAGAAGCATACTTGTGATAGAACCTGGTGTTAGCATCTGCACCCCGCAGCCAGTGTTGTTTCGCCCGCTGCCTCCAAAATACATCCTCCTGGGCCTCCAATTGCTTCAACTGATTCTCATTCTGCTGGAACTCGGCCAATGCGGCCGGATTCGTTACATCACAGAACTTCTCTTGCTGCTTCCGCAACTGCCCTATTCGGTGACCAAATCTATGGAACTGGTCTCCCCCCCCCCCCCCCCCCCATCGCATCAACTTTATACCACAAAACTGCTGACAGTGCAACAAGCCCTCCGGCCTCCCCTCCTGCCAGGCTGTCTCCACCACCTCCTTGCACCCCTCATCCAACAACCATGCATTTTCAAATCTAAACCTCCTCGGTCCTCTTACTCTACGTGTACTGAGAGCATTTATATTGAGGAATAGAGCCGAGTGATCTGATTCTCTAGTCTGCAGATTCTCCACCCATGCATTCTCATTCATACCACCCCACTCCTCCGTAATAAGCACCTTATCAAGCCTCTCCTGTATCCAATTCTCCGTGCCTTTACTCTTATCCCATGTGAACTGGCGGTCCCGCATCGGCATCTGAATCAAACCACACGCATCAACGGTTTCACCAAACCCTCGTAAGAGGCTATTCGGGTATGGATTCCCCCCCCCCCCCCCCCTCTTTTCATGTTGATAAAGAAGATTATTAAAATCCCCTATCACCACCCAGGGTAATCCAGATCTACTCCTCAACATACACAGTAGTTCCCAGGTTTCCTCCCTTCTACTTCGATCCGAACATCCATATAAACATGTCATACGCCATAACTTGCCATTCATACTAACCTCAATATCAATGTGGTTGAGCGAGTAACTCAACAACCTAGCCGTGTTGTTCCTCTTCCAAAGGAGCGCCATACCCCGACTCAAGCCATCATTATCCACATAAAACAAACCCTCATAACCAAGCCTGACACGGACTCTCTCCGCATGACTCCATGCCACCTTGGTTTCTATCAAAAACACAAACTCTGGCTTCTTACGGGACACCATGTCCACTACTTCTCGAACTGTGCGTGGATTGCCCAAGCCACGACAGTTCCAGCTTGTCGTACTCATGATGCTGGGCGGGGCTGGACACCAACTCCCGCCATGGACAAGTTTTTTGAACCATCAGTGATTGTTATCTCATCATTCCCACCATCCTCTCCAATCTCCGTCCCATGCCTACGACGCTTTGCCGTAGCCACCACCACCTCATCCTCCGACATACTCGTGGGTGTGACTCCCCCACCTCCCCGACCACCGTCTACTGCCCCAATCAACCTTTGCTTTACTACCAATGGACGTGGTTTCCCGCCTACCGGCACGAGCCAGCTATCCCGAACCGCTCTAGGAGCGCTCCGGGACCCACCAGCCCGCATATCCGGACCGTACAAGTACTTATCCACCGGTATCCCCGCTTCCCTTGCTTGCAGACAAAACGTATGCAGGTGACCCATATACCCACAGAAAAAAACAAAACTTGTGTAACCACTCATACCTGAAATTAACCCATGTTGTAGTCCCGTCCCTCTTCATTAATCTCATCCTCCTCCTAAGAGGCCTATCAATCGAAATTGACACCCGAATACGATGAAAAGCTAGCCATGGTGCCCCTTCAAATCGCTCATCATGCTTAATAACCGAGCCCAGAAAATTCCCTGCCTGTTCCAGAATTGCGTGAGATGTGTACCCCTTAGGCATATCATGCAACTGTACCCACATATCAATCATGTCCAGCTCCACATCCACAGGATTCACCCCATCCAACACCTCTCGACACACAAGAGCATTGTTCTCAAAAGCCCAGAGACCCCCATTCAGCACATAGTCCATATCTGTTTTGTGGAAAAAAACAAACAAAAACAAACCCCTCTGGATCTCCGTCACCTGTACCCCGCGCACTGGCTGCCAAACTGACGCTAACACCTGCCGCATAAAATCAAGTTTTATCAATTTTTGCGTCAAAAACCGCCCTACCACCCTCCATGGCTCCTCCTCACCTTCCCCGCCTCCCTCAACCCCGTCATCCTCCCCTTCCGGCAAAAACACCGCACCCTCCTCCTCTAGCAGTGCCCAGTCCGCCCATCTATCCGTCAACTCTGACACACCCCCCCACTACCCCTTGCTACCGTGTAGTCTCCCCATCCCCCCTCCCACGCTGACCCGTACCTCTATTCCCCCCACCATCCAAACTGCTCACATCACCCCCATGCATACCGCCCACTCCGCCTGCCAACGCAACTCCCCCACGCTGCAAATCACAGCCACGTTCCCCCCTTCCTCCACCTTCCCGAAGCGTTTCTGTCGGCTGGAACCCATCACCCGTTCCGAACTCCCTCCCTACCGGACTCTGACCAGCAGTTCGCCGTGCCTCCTGCCTTCCCTCCATCATCTGGCGCAAATCTGCCCCTTCCGACAATCCCCTATCGCGCCGCTCTTCCTCATCGTTCGGCCCCTCGTCACGTCCGTTCACCTTAACATTCATAACAACATCATCGGCCATCTTCCAGGGAGAATGAAAACAAAATTTGTCGGAAAACCTAGGAAAACCCTAGTAGGTCTGCAAAAACCCTAGAGAGAATCTAGAGAGAGATACGTTATATTGTCTTTATTTTTCTAAAAAAAAAAATGTCTTACATAATTTACTAATCCTAAAAAGGATTGTAATTGTTTTAATTCTTCCAATTTGTCAGGAAATTTCAAAATTTTTTAGAGATGTGAGGTTGTAATTTAATACTTCCCTCTCCAATTTCAGCTTCTAAGAAGAAATATAATTTTTTCCTATTTCCATTTTCTTTTTGGATATTATTAATCCATGTTTTTCAAAAATTGTGAAAATAGTGTATAAGTGTGCTTTGTGCTCACTTTCTGTTTTTGAAAAGACTAAAATGTCATCAATGTAAATACAAGTAAAATTGTAACAATCTTTAAAAATTTCATCCATCATTCTTTGAAAAATTTGTGGTGCATTTTTCAACCCAAATGGCATTACTAGCCATTCAAATTGTCCTAATGTGCATGAAAATGCAGTCCATTCTATACTATTTGGATGTATTTTGACTTGCCAAAAACCAGATTTTAAATCAAATTTTTTCCTTGAATTTTGTTAATTAGAGTGTCTTTATTCGGAATACAATACCCATCTCCATAAGTATTGTCATTATGTGCATGAAAATGCAGTCCATTCTATACTATCTGGATGCATTTTGACTTGCCAAAAACCAAATTTTAAATCAAATTTTTTCCTTGAATTTTGTTAATTAGAGTGTCTTTATTTGGAATACAATACCCATCTTCATAAGTATTGTCATTAAGTGCATGATAATATGGATTAATTTTTCAGTATTACAAATTAAAGGTATGGGAGCAGTACAAGTTTCTGCTTCCTTTGTGTTGATAATATTTAGTTCTTCTTGGAATATTTGGGTGAATTTGAAATTTCTTTCTTCTGAAATTTGTTTCCCTTTTTCTACCAAATTATTAGTTTATGTAGTTTTTCTTCCACCATATCTAGTCTTTTTTCTATATTGGTTACTCTAGTTTCTAATTGATCAATTTTATTTTCAGGATTTTTTATTGTGTTAATTTGTTCTGAATTTGAAATTTCAATCTCAAAATGCTTTTTAATGCAATTTGAGCAAATTTGTTTCATACATGTCTGACACTTCCACCTTTTATTAAAAGCTGGATACCAGTTACATTTGTGACACGTAATATTGTCACTTCCTGATTTAAATTTTCAATTATGTATGCAATTTTCCATTTAGAAAAGATTAAAATTATTTAATTTTTCTAAAAGGATTCCATTGTTTAGAAAATTATCTTCTTGAATTTCAACTTCTTCAGTTTCTATTCCTTCTAAGGAACAAATACTCCAAATTTCAGATTCACTAGAAATATCAGATGTTATTTCTACCAAATCTTCGGAAACTAAATTTAATTCCCTGGTGAATAAATTTTGTCTGTTTGGACAGACAGAAGATAAATGTCCAGGTTTGTTACAAGCAAAACAAGTAATTGTTTTCTTGTATGTTTTATTAGGATTGTATTTCCTAACATGTCTTGTCTTGTTTAGGTAGGGTTTTCTTGCATTTGATTTCTCAAATAATTTCTCTTAACATAATTTTTCTTTTGTTTAATTTGTTTTCTTTGGCACCCATCATCAGGATGTTTTCCATACTATTGAGGAGTGTAAATTTGTTTGCAAAAACCTACCTTCTTTTGTTTTAATTCTTTTTTAATTTGAATGTAAGTGCATTTTTTCTTTAATTCACTAATAATGTGTTGAATTCTTATTCCTATATTATCAAAAATATCATTGGCTTGTACCAATTTCCATGATTCATGAATTTCTTTACCCAATTGTCCGGGTAACTTGATAAAAAGTCTTTCTCCTAATTCTGGAGAAAAATAATTTTCTGAAATACTTGCTAGAGCATAAAAGTCTTGGAGGAATTCTATTACATGATTCCAATCAAATAATTGAATTTGTTCCAAGTCTCTCATAGCTTCTGCTTGTCTAATTTTTAGTCCAGTGTTGGCATCTCTGCCTGTGATAATTCTGTGTATCAAATAAGCAAAATTATGTATATTGCTCCCTTGAGAAATTAATTATGCTAATTTGTCTAGAAAATTTGTTTTAAAGGCTTCCCACGCAGCCCTAACAATATCTCCTAGATAATTTTCAGCAATTTTGATCATTTCATCACCTTATGTGATATTGAAATGTCTACTTTCAAAGTCTCTAATCATCATGGCAGTCCATTGCTTTAAATAATTATCCAATAATTGTGGATGAATATTAGCTATGTTTAAAATTATAGAATCTTTTCCCAATATTTGAATTTCATGAGGAGTTCTTTTTCCTAAAGTTCTCCTATTAGGATTATTTTGGTTGTAAATCGTGAAGTCTAGGAGGATGTCCTACTGGGTAAGCCATCTGTTCAGGAGTAGCAGATGGATAATATGAAGATGTGGCAGTGTTTTGATTTGTACTAGTTTCTGCTATATTAATAAAAAAAATTTATTGAATTTTCTTCTAGACTCATGTCTTCTTCTTCTTCAATTGTTTCAAAGTTTTGTTTTAATTTGTGGATATCATTAGATATTTTTCCAGTAAATTATATTTTTCTGAATTTCTCATTTCCAATTCTTGGTTTAATTTTTCCAAAATTAATTCATCATTTTTAATTTTTTGAAATTCTTCTAATGTGAGTGCTCCTGCAATTTTTGAATCTTAATAATAAAGATCCATTTTCATTGGTATAAGTTACTATCTCTGTTGGTTTTAGAGTCTCAATTTCAGTGGTTAAGTTTTCAATTTTCCATTCTTCTCCTGCCAAAAGAGAAGAATAAACTGATTCTGGTCCAAAAAATTTTGATTCCTTTAGACTCAATTGTCTTAATTATGTTATTAATTTTAATTTTAAATCATGGGCAAACTTGTGTGGATAATCTTCCCATCAAGATTATGTCTTAACACAATATTTGATCCTTTAAAATTTCCAAATCCTTTTGTTTGGACTTAAATTTTTATATACTTAATGTCCTTTAAGGCAATAGTATAATTTGGACATAAAGAATGAATTCCAATATTATTATTCATGTCTACTTCTATTACCCCAATAATTTGTTTATTTAGTGAGGATTGATTTCTAGTATCTAAAACAACAACTAAGACTTTTGTCCCGCTTTGTTTCATTACTAGTCCTCTGACTCCAATTGTAATTAATCCTAAATGTATATAATTTAAATTTTTGGAAGAAATTTGGTTTATACTTTCATTTGTTAATAATCCGAATGTTTCAGTCCTACCTTCTTGTAGTTCTAACATTTCGGATCTGTGTTCTAATTAAACTGGAATTATTTTCTAAAACTCCAGTTCTGTATAACATGTTTGGTCTTAATGTATTAATGTAATCATTTGACATAATTTCTAAGTCTCTTTTTGTGCCAACAATTTGTTCCAATTTATAAGAATTTTTGTTTGAGTTTAATTTTAAAAGTCTGTTTAAATAAGAGGGACTGTTAGTTTGGTTAAATGTGCTAATTATAGAAGAACTAGGTTCTTCTGAAGTTAATGTTCTTGACCTTCCCGTAAAAGGATTCATTATTTATTTAAATTTTTCTTGACTTCTTCTAAATTGCATGTCAAAAAATTTTTTGTTTTGGATTTAATTTGTGAAGAAATCTGAATATTAGAAAAATTTTTGGATAACAAATCTATGCAATTATTTATCTCAATTAATTTTGGATTTTCAATTATTTATTTTTCTATTATTAGTTATTACTAAGTCAAATTTTGTGTTATAATTTTCAATTAATTTTAATAAATTTGAAATTTTCTTTTCTTGCTGTTCCATCATAGTTTTTAAATAATCAATTTGTTTTAAAATTATTTCATTAGACTGATTCATATTAACAGATTAGTTTTGCTATTCAATTTTCAATTTCTTCTAAAATTTCTTTGTGAGATTCAAAAGTATTCTTCATTGTTTTATAAAAAGGGGAATTTGGGTCATAATTTTTCCCTTCAGTGTCTAACTATTTTTTTTATTCTAATGCTCTAGTTTTATAAAAAATTTTGTAATATTTTAAATGTGAATTTTTTTCAAAAAAATTCATGACGAAATTTCTGTAATATAACTTTTCATTTCAAGAATTTTCTTAAGTGTAAATTCATAATTATTATAAGAGTGTTCATATTGTTCCCAATTTTGTAAATGACAATATTCTTGCATGTCTGCTAGAAAAGTTTGAAGATTATATTCACATATTCTAAGTTTCCATGGATGTTAAATATCCTTTTTCTGATAGTAATTTGCTTTTTTTTTTGATAAAATAAACAGTGCGAATTTCTCAAGTACATAAATTATTGCAAGTAATTCAAAGTCCAAGGATGTTAAATATCCTTTTTCTTTAAATTTTTCAGAAAAATTCATGCCGAAATTTCTGTAATATAACTTTTCATTTCAAGAATTTTCTTAAGTGTAAATTCGTAATTATTATAAGAGTGTTCATATTGTTCCCAATTTTGTAAGTGACAATATTCTTGCATGTCTGCTAGAAAAATTTGAAGATTATATTCATATATTCTATGTTTTCAAATGCAAAATTCTAAACATGAGTGAATCATTTTAATTTCTCAGAATCGTAATAAGCTCTGATACCAAATATAGAGGGGGTATGCCTCCGCAGAGGTTTAATTGTGAAGAAGAAATGATGTGAAAAATAGAATAGTAATTTGTGAAAAAGAAATGATGTGAAAAATAGAGTAGTAGTTTGAGAAATGACTATCCAATGACATGTAGTACATGTCATTATTATTTTTTAAATAATCCAAAATTTATTAATGATATGTACTACATGTCATTGGTTAGTCATTTCAACTCCTACACATACCCAAACTCTTCATCTAAATACATAAACTATAAGCCCACCCATGTTTGATTGACAAATTTTTATGTAGATTATGAATAAAAGATACATTATTTATATTATAAATGTATTTTATTTGATAATATACAAAATAATATATGTTTACTACTCAAATAATGTATATTTGGTATAGAAATATTGTATATTTAGTATATGAAAAAGGTATATTTTATCTATGATTCACATAGTTGTGTGGACCATGGTTCAAGGAATAATGATTTTGTTTGATTCATCAAATAGATTTTTGTCCATTCAAAACGTGAATGGTTGTAAGGATAAGATGTTTACGAAATTAGCCTTTTTAATTATATTTTGATTGGGTGCCTTGAATTGTATGCCAAAATTAATACTCTTTCTTTTGGAAACAAACATTTCATTAATAAAAATTCAACGATAAGATGTTAGTATGTTATAGATAAAGTTAGGAAGGTCAGAAAATTACTCCAAGCAATCAGACATAGAAACGGACGACCTAACGATAATGTGAGCAGTCCGATTCGTGGATCGCTTAGCAAATGATACAAAAACTTGAGAAAAGACACTTAGCAAGCTTTTGATATCCCTAAGAACAAGATGGAATGATGAGTCCCCATTTGGTGTTTTGATGCCTTGAACCACTTGTAGGGAGTTGGTTTCTACCTGTACATTGTTAAAACCATGATCCTTTAGCCAACTTAGAGCTTCCCCAATATCAACCGCTTCGACTTCTCTTGAGGAGAACAAGCCTTTCCAAGGGACACCTCTTGCTACAATGAAACTACCATTCTCATCTCTTAAAACCCATCCAAATCCCATAGTGTGTGTATCCTTATGAATAGCTGCATCAACATTTAACTTCAACATCCTGTGCACCGGTTTTGTCCAGTTAGTTTGGAAGGCTTGAGAAGCATTGTGGGTATCAGTAGAATTTCATTAGCACCTCTCTAGACTCTAGTCTTGTAGGAAGCTACGAGCCTTGCGAACCATGGTATGATGCAGTTGAACAGAATTATTACTCCATAAGACTTCATTCCTTTGATTCCATATTTCCCAGCAAGTCATAATAAACATACTTCATTCCTTTGATTCCATATTTCCCAGCAAGTCATAATAAACATAGACACCAATTCTTTACTGCTACTGGACAGAAAAAGGCTTAGCCATTCTTCATTTAATTCACCTCCACGACCCTGCATTTAGATGTCATGTTCTTGCCAAATTGCCTTTGCATATGCACAATCAAGGAAGAGATGAGATAAATATTCAATTCCACCGGAACGAAGACATCATTGAACGTCGCAATCCACATGCTTTGCACGAAGTTTGTCCTTTGTAGGGAGGCAGTTAGAACACAATTGCCAGAAGAAGATCTTTACTTTTGGAGGGATCCACAATTTCCAAAAGGCAGTCCAGGCATGGGTTGTATCCTCTTGTCTTTCTCTACTTGTTATGGCCTTATCCGCACAACACACAGCAACAGTAAGAGAAGAAGAGAGATAGGGTTTAGAAGAAAAAGAAGAGATGAAGAAAAAGGAATATTGGATTAAACTTTGCGTAAAAAGCCCATTCATCAGTTCTACCATATATATATATAATCCATAAGCCATGATCTACTACAGCTAGTCCATGAATTTCTAACTGAATTCACAGCTGGAATTGATAACTGAAAGGGAAGAAAAGGAATAATCTAACAGAATCAATAATTGGCCTTTGAGTCAAACAACGTCGCTTGAATTAATTCATAACCGCCTGGCTTCCGAAACGACAACGCCGGATGTCTTCAACCAACTTCAACTTCCTCCCGTCCAACGACGTCATTTGGTGTCTGCTCCTGATTTCCAACCTCAGTCCCCTTCTTCCTAGCTTCCCTTGGTTTATTTCTCCCAGTAAGGGCTGTTACAGTACCCCCTTCTTCCCGAGATCCTTGACCCCAAGGATCAAACAAGGGAAACTGCTTAATTACATGGTAATAGTCCTCCCATGTGGCTTGTTCCTTTGGCAAGTTTGACCATTGAACCAATATCTGTGTCACAGCTTGATTATTTCGTTTTACCAACCTTTTGCCAATGGCTGCAATGGGTTTAGCCTGGACTTCTCCATCCTTACCTATAGTTGGGGGCTCTATCTGTGGCACCACCCTTTCACCCACCTTCCTCTTCAATTGTGAGATGTGAAAGACAGGATGCAATAAGGCCCCTTGAGGAAGCTGAAGCCTATATGCAACTTTACCAACTTTTTCCAGCACCTAGTAAGGCCCAAAGTACCTGGAGGACAACTTCATATTAGTTCTTACTGCTAGAGACACTTGCCTGTAGGGTTGGAGCTTGAGGTACACCCAGTCTCCTACCTCCAAGTTTCTTTCACTCCTTCCCCTATCTGCCTGCTGCTTCATCCTATGCTGAGCCTGTCTCAGATTCTCTTTCAGTCCTGCTAAGATGCTATCTCTTTCTGTTAGCCAATTGTGCCCCTCAGCCCCAGAGGCCAGTCTAGCGGCCAGTGTAGGTGGGGAGTAACCATACAAGGCCTGAAATGGTGTACATTTGAGAGCTGTGTGATAGTTTGTGTTGTACCAAAACTCTGGCAAATAGAGCCATTTAACCCAAGACTTGGGTTTTTGGAAGACCATACACCTTAGGTAATTTTCCAGGCACTTGTTAACTCTTTCAGTTTGGCCATCCGTTTGGGGGTGGTAAGCTATGGAAAGATTCAATTTGACCCCCATCTTCTTGAATAAAAACTGCCAAAATGCACTGGTAAACACTTTGTCCCTATCTGAGACAATGTCTTTTGGGAGCCCATGTAACTTGTATATGCCTTCCATGAACACTTCAGCAATACTCTCAGCAGAATAAGGATGTGAAACAGCAATAAAATGGCTATATTTAGTCAGTCTATCAACCACCACCAAGATTACTTCCTTGTTGCTGGATTTGGGTAACCCCTCTACGAAATCCATGGAGCCCAAGCTTCCTCTGGAATAGCCAGAGGTTGCAAGAGACCAGGGTTGCTATGTTTTCATGCTTACACCTTTGGCATACATCACAAACCTTTACCAACTCAACCACATCCCTCTTCATACTCTTCCAAAAGAAGAATTGTTTCATCCTTTGGTAGGTGCCTTGCTGACCAGAATGTCCACCTAAGGCAGACTCATGCAACTGCAACATCAACCTCTTTCTCAAATCACCTGTTGACCCCACATAGATCCTGTTTTTATACCTCAAAATGCCTCCCACTACAGTCACATCAGGCAAGGCAGTGGTGTCAATAAAACAGCTTGCCAAGGTTTCAACTGCCCAAGGATCATTGCTATAGCTTTTCTCTACCTCCTCCATCCATTGAGGTTGAACTGATGAAATGGAATTAAACTCAGTTTCACCCTCCCCAAATTGTCTTGAGAGGGCATCTGCCACACAATTCTCAGTCCCTTTCTTGTATTTGATAGTATAATCTAACCCCAGCAGTTTGGCCAACCCTCTTTGCTGTACTGCAGTGGTAATTTTTTGCTCCAACAAGAACTTAAGGCTGTGATGATCAGTGGTAATGGTGAAGTGTCTTCCCATTAAGTAAGGTCTCCATCTCTCAATGGCATTCACAATAGACCAATATTCTTTTTCATAGATAGACATTCCCATCTGTTTCTCTCCAAAGGCCTTACTAAAGAAGGCAATGGGTTTCCCTTCTTGCAACAACACAGCCCTCATACCTCTTGAACTAGCATCTGCCTCTACCACAAATTCTTTTTGGAAATTAGGGAGGGCCAACACTGGTGCACTGCATAATGCCTATTTCAGTAACTCAAAAGCCACATCAGCCTCCTTATTCCATTCAAAATCATTCTTCTTGAGTAGATTAGTCAGTGGTTTGCTAATAATCCCATAAGATTTTATAAACCTTCTGTAATATCCTGCCAAACCCAAAAATTCCCTTAGGGCTTTCACAGAAGAAGGCTTAGGCTAGGCAGCCACAGCCTCTAGTTTTGCAGGATCAGTCTTTAACCCTCCTTTGGAAATTATGTGGCCTAAGCATTCCACTTGGTCCTTTGCAAAGAAACATTTACTCATTTTTGCCAATAGCTGATTATCTTTCATGATCTGCAACACTTCTCCCAAATGGACCCAATGATCCTCCCAAGTTGCACTATAGATCAGTATATCATCAAAAAATACTAACACTGACTTTCTGAGTAAGGATTTGAAAACTTGATTCATTAGGGCTTGGAATGTTGCAGGTGCATTGGTTAATCCAAAGGGCATAACCTTAAACTCATAGAGCCCTTGATGAGTTCTAAAGGTTGTCTTATGCTCCTCTCCTGCCCTCATCCTAACCTGATGATAACCTGATCTCAAATCCAATTTTGAGAAACATCCAGCTCCAGCCAACTCTGAAAACAAGTCCTCCACTAAAGGAATGGGAAACTTATTTTTAATAGTGAGGTTGTTAAGGGCTCTGTAATCCACACAAAATCTCCAAGTATTATCTTTTTTTGGGAACTAACAACACAGGAGAAGCAAAACATGATGAACTGGGCACTATAACCCCAACAGACAACATCTCCTCCATCTTTTCTATGGCATTCTTCTGGTCATAAGAGTATCTGTATGGGCCAATGTTCACAGGTTTGGACCCTGGAATCATAGGGATGGAATGGTCAAGGGTTCTTTGGGGTGGTAAGGAAGTAGGCTCTGAGAATACTTCCTTGAACTCATCCAGTATGTAAGTGAGTTCAGGGAAGGCTAAGGCATTTTGGCTATTCAGTGTGGGCTAAGGCAGGGGTTTAGGTAGGTTGTGTGGTGTTGGTGTTGGCATGCACTGTATTAGGAACCCTTTAACTCCTCTTTTGTGCCACTTCTTAATCTGTTTTTCAGAGCCCCCCTTAAGTAAAATCTTCCTGGTCAGGCCTTTTAGTGTTATCCTCTTGCCATCCTTGTGGAATGAAAGACTAGGTGGCCTAGTATGCAGTTGTATAGGTGCATACTGGTCTACCCAATCCATCCCTAATACCATATCACACCCTCCTAATTCAAGAAATCTGAAATCTTTTGTAAACTCCTCCCCTTGCACTTCCCAACTCAACCCCAAACAGGCAGTGTCACATCTAATCTTTTCCCCATTAGCAACAGTTATTTCTAATGGTTTCACTTTCACAGGCTCCCTTCTCAATTGAAAGAGCACCCTTGGATCCAAGAAGCTGTGAGTGCTCCCACTATCTACTAAAATCACCACTTTCTGTTTCTGAACCATCCCAAGGAGTTTGATGGTATTCATGCCCTCTCCCCCAACTATTGCACAGAGGGTAACTTCTGCTTCCTCACTCCCCCTTTATCCCTCAATTGGCTCAGCAATTTCAGATGTCTCATATCCCTCATCCTCTTCTATCAGGTTAAAAGATGGACCCTTACACTTGTGCCCTGGTTGCCAGGCCTCAAAACACTTGAAACATCTTCTTTGGTCTCTCAGTTGGGATTTAAATCTGTTCAGGTCAGGTATGGGTGAGTTGGATACTGGTTTGAGGCAATAGGTTTAGGGTTTTGGTGTGAGGGGGTGGGTTCAGATGGTTGGCCATTATAGGATCTGGGTTGAGGGGGTGGCTTAGGATTCCAGGAGCCTGATTTGTTAGCATCAGTAGTTCTTAATCCCTTCTCAAATTTCCTGGCATACCAGATAGCTTCTCCTGGGGTGTTTGGTTGTGAAGTCCTAACAAAACACCTCAGGGATTGTTTCAGTCTTGCTATGTAATTATCCTTAAAATAACTCTCTGTCAGACAAGGGTAGCCCTGTAACAACTGACTTCTGAAATCTTCATACTTATCAGTGAAGTCATCCACTGATCCCCACTGCTTCAAACTTGCAAATTCCTCCATCAAGGAGGCGTCACTACTGCCAAACCTCTTGCACACTGCCTCGGCAAAGGGTTGCCATTGAAACCCTTACCTAAGCTCACTCACATAGCCTTCATACCACACAGCTACCCTCCCAGAAAGATTGACAAACAACAGATTCATGATCTCATTCCTAGGAATATGTGAGACCATAAAGAACCTCTCACATCTCACAATCCAGCTCCTGGGGTAATCATAATCAAAGGGGGGAAAATCAGCCTTATACCTGGGGTAGAAATCCATATTGGCCTGTCTCCTGGGTTCCCATTCCCTCTCAGGAACTTCGATTGGATCCTCCTCCTCTACAGGTGCTTTATCAGCTCTCCTTCCCGGATCTTCACCGGCTTCTCCCGGAATCAGAGGCTGTGGTGAGCCCATAGGGAGGTTACCCTACACAGAAGACTGTCCTGGAGATCTGTTCATCAATGGAGGTTGTGGTCGGTTCAGCCTCAAAAGGGCTAAGACCTCCTCTCTGAAATTTCCCAACTGGATATGGAGTTGCTCCGAGTTAGTAGTGTTGGACTGAGCCTGAGCTTCCACTATTCCCTTGAGCTCAGCTATCTGTCCTTCCACCTTCTTCATGTAGTCTTCCATGATCGTGAGCTCTGATACCAACTGTTATGGCCTTATCCGCACAACACACAGCAACAGTAAGAGAAGAAGAGAGATAGGGTTTAGAAGAAGAAGAAGAGATGAAGAAAAAGGAATATTGGATTAAACTTTGCGTAAAAAGCCCATTCATCAGTTCTACCATATATATAAGCCAAAAGCCATGATCTAGTACAGCTAGTCCATGAATTCTTAACTGAATTCACAGCTGGAATTGATAACTGAAAGGGAAGAAAAGGAATAATCTAACAGAATCAATAATTGGCCTTTAAGTCAAACGACGTCGCTTGAATTAATTCATAACCGCCTGGCTTCCGAAACGACGACGCCAGATGTCTTCAACCAACTTCAACTTCCTCCCGTCCAACGACGTCGTTTGGTGTCTGCTCCTGATTTCCAACCTCATTCCCCTTCTTCCTAGCTTCCCTTGGTTTATTTCTCCCAGTATGGGCTGTTACACTACTCAACACTCTGTAGCAGCTCTTCACGGTGAATCGACCATCATCTTCTGGATTCCAGATAATCTTGTCATCAGCTTGCAGACTAGAAATTGGAATTTGCATGATTAAGTCCGCGCCCCTTTTGTAAAAATGGTCCTTATCGTCTCTTCATCCCACCTCAAGTTAGTAGAGTCTCTTAGGGATGCCACCGTAGCATTCTCAAGCTAAGGGAATGGGAAAGAAACCACATTTAGATTTGACTTGTCTGGAAGCCAATTATCGTTCCAGATATTGATTTTCTGCCCGCTTCCAACTCTCCATCTACTATGTTTTCTGATTATATCCTTCGTTTCATGCAAGCTGCTCCAAATATAAGAGGGATTTGTACCTTTGGCAGCATCCAAGAAGGCGAAATTTGGGAAGTGATGGGCTTTATAAATCTGTGCCACAATTGAACGAGGATTCTAGATGATCCTCCATATCTGCTTACTTAACATAGCTAAATTGAACTCTTGAAACTTACGAAAACTTAATCCTACGATACGTACCCTCTCTCATCCCCTTTCCCCCAAAATGCATTCAGAGCCACTTCTATTTCACTAATCGATCTCTATGGTAAAAGGAAGACTCCCATAGCATAAGAAGGGATTCAGGAACACTTCCCTCCCCGCCCTAGATAAGAACCTATGACTCCATCCATTAATACGTTTCAGAATTTTGTCTTTTAAAAACGCAAACACCTCTCCTCGATTTTTGCCCAGAATCATTGGAAGACCTAGATAATAACCAGAACCCCCCTCACTCCTCACACCCAGAATATTCCCCATTGTTTTCCTAAGATCAAGATTTACATTCTTACTAAAACAGATGGACGACTTCTCAAAATTAATGGTCTGACCTGATGCCGATGCATATTGGTTTAGGAGAGATTTGAGTTCCTGAGCCCCTTCTAGATTGACCTTAAAAAAGACATAGCTGTCATTTGCAAATAGGAGGTGTGAAACTGGAGGTGTTCCTCTCGCTACTACAATGCCATGTAGCATGTTCTGCACTTCCCTTCCCCTTAACATAACACTAAGGCCTTCTGTCACCAGAATGAATAAATATGGGGATAAAGGTGAAGACCTCTGGAAGGGGT